CGTTAAAAATGGTCCTTCAACTGTTTGGGGCATAGGGGGATGAAAAGAGCCCCACCTTGAAATATTAAGATAGGGAAACTAAAGCAACTTAATTTCACGGTAGAAAATAATTAAAGTCCCACCTAATAATTAAATATCTAAGCACTTTCTTCGAACGTTACTCTTCTTAAGTTTCAATAGAACAAACCTACTTTGCTGTGTTTCTTTTAAACAAAATTTCTGTGCAACTAGAGCCTTTCTTTCTGAAAATCCTGTGCCCCAAATTTCATGGCGGAACTATTTATGTCCCACCTAGTAATTAAACATCTAAGCTTCTTTTTAAGTTCTAATAAAACAAACCTACTTTGTTACATTTTTAAAAAGTAAAATTTCTACGCCTATCCTGTGCACCCAATTTCACAGTAGAACCATTTATGTCCCCCACCTAATAATTAACTATCTAACCACTTTTATTTTAATTTCGATAAAACAAACCTACTTCGCTACATTCGTTCAAAACAAAATTTCCATACAACTGTAGCCTCGTTTTATCTAAAAAAGTCCTCTGCCCCAAGTAGTTAAGTAGAACAAATTCGTCCTTAAAACCGCAAGACAGCCTGATCCTCCGAACCAATTATCCTTTATCGGCCATTTCCTCACCGAGCCAATTAAAATTTCCATCAAGTGGAACGGCAACAACAAGCAAAAAAAAAAAAAACCTCCTATCTCGACTTTAATTATGACTTTTCCTCACGCGGCAGGGGTACGATTCCCATCTTCCTCCCTTCTTCGTCCTCGTGCAGCGTGACACCCATTTCCTGCAGCACGCTGTTCTCCACGACGCCGACTCTCGTGTAATTCCGTATGATCTCCTGATTCGCCGGATTATCCTCGCATAAATTCCGCAGCGCGAGGATCGTCCATTGCATTATAACTGCGCGTGTAAAATTTAACACGGGCATTAATTAAGCGACGGCCGGAATATCATCGGCCGGGAGGCGGGGGATATCACAATGACCACGGGGACACGTTAAACGTGGAAACGTGTCCGGATTACTTACGCGGATTTCTCGCGTCTATATTGCAGCAGTCCAACAGCAGAGGTACGGCTTCCATTTCGCGGAGCTGAAAATGGGTTTCAACGATCATCTCCGTGAGTTTCCTATATACACACGCCTGTGTAAGAGCGAACCTGCTTATAATAACGTTTCATAAAACTGCTACGCGACGCGTAAAACTTGCGAATCAGGCGTAAACTGTGTATGCATGCACGTGAACGCGACTCTTTCTTTTCTCGTCGATAAAGTGTGCAATTTGTCGCGGATAAGCGGGGCGAGATTGCTGAGAGTAATGGTATTATTTGTTGGGGTAAGTAGAAATAGAAGGGAACTTAGTGGGGGTTTTTTCCTTTTTTTTCTTGTCGATGTAGAACGAAACGACGGTGGATCGAAGTGTCTTTTTTTTTTTATTTTATCAGCGATGTGAGCTGGAGAGAAGATTGTGTAAAATGTTGAAGTAACGGAAGATGGAAAAGTAACAGTTATTTTAAGAATTTTTATTGAAAACGATCGTCGAGGAAAAGTCGTTTCGAGATTTCTCAGAATTTAATGCGATTGAAAATTACTTTTCTTGAAAACAGAATAACTGCTTTTTGACCAAGAAATTTGTTCGCCGTTGGCTGTTAACCAGAAAAAATTAAGTATTTATACTGGTTATTCGTAATCAAAAGTTTAAGTCGAGAAAATAATTGTTATATTGTAACGTTTTTGTATTAAAATTGTAACAGTTGGGGTTTATGTGATTAACCCTTTGCAGAGGACTGTTAGGCCAGAATTGAAATTCTTTTTTTTTATAGTAAATAATGTGAAAATGCGAACACGAGTTCATGAAAACTATTTTTCTCGATGAGAAATATACGAATTTATTCGCACTATTTTGTCTGAAAGGGTTAAATTGTAAAAATGGCCCTAAACTTGGCCACATTTATCTCACAAACCGTTCGATTTTACAGTCCACCCAAATTCGAATTTGCAATTGGAAAATTTCACTTACATGTCGACTTTAAATTGATACTCGAATTCAGTTACGACAAAAGCTTTCGCGATAATAAATAACCGAACTACATAGTTGAAAGTTGAGCAGAAAGTGTTACACCGTCGCAGGATCACGGACGTTAATTTATTTTTATAGCAACGCGTGGACCCTGATTTATCGCATTCGCCATTCGCGTAGCCATAAAAATATTATTTTTGCACGGGGCCGCGTTCACCAGCTCTCGTTCAATGAAAAACGAGCCGCCGCGCCGTTCAAATCGAACGGTAATTGAATCGCGTGTCGAAACAGAGATACATTTTATCTACGAGTCCCTAAATCCGTACACCTCGAATTATCCCAAGTACGAAAATTGAAACCGACAAATCAAAAATGAAAAAAAAAAAAAAAATAAGGATCTTCGAATGTGACGATGTTCGCTGTTCGAAGTGTTCAAAGTTTCATTGCGAACTTAATAACGTAAGTTCGTGCTGGAGGCGAAAAATATTTTAGTGAAAATCCAAGGAAATTCTATAGGGACGACATAATAATCTCATCAAAAAAGAAAAAAATGGAAAAAAGTTGTGGAATAAAAAGGCACTTACGTTTTTTTCTAGCAAATTTAAAGGTTCGCTGGAAATATTGATCTAGATTATAAAATTCGACACGAACTTAAGGAGTTTAGATGAATATTTCCAAGGAACCTTTAAATTTGATAAAAAAAAAATATAAGCGTCTTCTCATTCCACAATTTTTTCTTATTTTTTTCGGTAACACCATTACAGAATTTCCTTCAATTTTCATTCAAGTATTATTCACTTTCGGCACGATCTTAATAACGAGCGATCAGCGACAAGAACGTAAGTACACGCGCGTTACAATTGCATCGAGAAGCATGGAAAGTGGCCGACGGTAGATCCGAAGATTCTCCGAACGAAATTTAAGAACAAGATCGCCTTCGACACCTTTACCTTCCTCCTCTTCGGCTAAGGAAACAGAGAACTGAGCGGAGCAAGACTAAAGAAGAAGTAACGTATGAAAAAATTGAAGGAGAGAAGGAAGAAAGAAAAAAGGAAAAGAAAGTGGAGGTCCCGCGAGTATTCACGCTTCTGCATCCAACTATATAATACGCTCTCGCCGATAAAATGATCCGAACGCGAGGGAAGAACGGCCATGGCTTCGATCTCGCTAATATATTAACGCGGTATCCGATGCTGGTTAAATTGCCGCGTCTTCGACTCGGACAGGATACTTAATTTTCCTTTGTTCGGTGAACAGTGAGCGCCGCGCCGCGCGCGATCCGTTCTCCTTCTTTTGTCCGGCGTCTCTCGCGCGCCAGAGATGAAATCAATAAGGGGCAATAACGATCACTCGAAAGACCGTGTACGCATAAAAGAGATAAATAAAAACGTTATTTCGGGCTGAACGTTCGTAATGTTCACCTACTCTCGCCTTCACCTCCTCCTCCTCTCTCTTGCACACCGCTTTTGTTTCGTTTTTCCTTGTTTTTCGTTTCTTTCGCGTGTCAGAGGATGATCTATGACGCAAAAAACCTTTGTACGCGGGTGCGCGTGATAAATGAAGGATCGATGCTGGCCAAGCTGGAGCATAGAAGAAGAACACGACCGTGGTAAAAATTGTTAGATCGATGATTAATCGGGAAAGATCCAGGAATTTTTTTTGTATGGTGTTCTTGCCATTTATCCGTTGTAACGTGTGACGCGTTTGCAGATACTACCGTTGGGCTTTTAGAGGCGCCAGTTTCTGGACTCGATTGGAATTGCTATCTTTACCGACTGGTGGTACGCTGGGTATTGTTGCTTGATGTCGAATGTATTTGAAGAAATAAAGGAAGAAAAAGGTACTTACCAGATCCTGACATTCCTTGTTCCTGTATGACATGTTTCCTATGATCCTTATTAAACCAGCTTTGAAACCAAAAGCTGGATGACTTTGAAGATTACTCTCTGCTGAATTTGTTTCACTTTCGTTTCCCTTGGCTTTAGTACTGTTTGAATTTGTTTCTGGTTCGTTATTTCTGGCTTCTTGCATCGCTAGGGCTACATCACTTAATTTTTGCAATGGTGTGAAATAATTGTGTGATTGTTTTCCAATGATTTGAATAGATTTTAATAAATCTGTGAATGGTTAAGCATTTTTGTGCATTGAAATATTTCTGTTAGAAAAAGAAAGTACTTACAAGTGCAATTAACAAGCAGACTTTTGTAACCCTTCAGTATACTGTATTCTTTGTAAGATCCAGATGTCAAGATTCCAAGAATATCATGAAGAATAACAATTTCTGTAGGATCTATTTCATCTACATATGCACCTACATATGTATCTACTGTTTTCAGAATTAAGTCACTTATTCTGCAAAATCGTTCAATTAGAAATATAACTGTATCATCTGTGAATACATATTCTTCTTTTGATTTATGTGTTGACTTTGAGACTTCGTTGTAAATTAATTCTAATAAAAATAATTTATTTTCAGTAGTCATATTCTTGTATGCACTTTGCAGTACTTTTGTTTGACACAATAAAATCATCAAAGCTTCTCTTGCACTTTCAAACCCATCTTTAATTGGTTTTAATAGTTGTGAAAATATTTGTGTTTTCTCTGTTTCTGTGAAAACTTCTTCTCCAAATTCCTTTAAAGCATTATGTATAAATATACAGGAAGCTCTAACCAGTTGAATATGGTCCAAACTAGTTATATTTCTACAATCAGAAAATACATACAATGTTGACAAACATCTTACGATATACAAAATGCACTAAGTAAATTAAGGTAACAAATTAATGTTGTAGAAGAGTATCAGTGGTACTTACATTATCACACCTTTCAAATTAGTATCATACAAATATTGTGGTATATTGTAACAATCTGGAAAACTACTATCTTTGTATGCACAGGTAAACAAATTGCATAGAAACTGAATACACAATCTTAAAATTTCTAATTTCTCATCCAGCAAAACACTGTTAATTTTACAAGATGTAATAAAATTTGATGCCCATTCTATTACACCTTCATAAGGAAAATGGGAATCAAATGGATAAGAATTAGAACTTTGTATTTCTTTCAAGTTTTCATTATTTGCTAGCATGGAATACAATTTATGATATGTTGCTTGCTCAATGTTAGTGGAAGCATAATTTTTGTGTATATAGCTATTGTAGCAAGAATTTCCTAAGCACTTTAAGCAAGCTATTTTGATATTGTTTGGAACAATAGGGTCTTCTATTATTAAGATTTGTGCAACTTTTGCTAACAGTGGAAAAGCAATTAATTCCCTGAAATTTAACGATCTGTTATATTAACTGCACGATACGCATTTATAATATAAATTATATTTTTGAAATCATACTCGGATTCGGGAGTTATAAATAATTTAGGATTAAGTAGGTTGAACAATTCGTTCCAATTTTCTTCAGCAAAAGCAGACTCATATTTAGATATTAAATTAATATTTCTAGTGCCCATCATGTCGTTGTAAATTATACATTCATAATAAAAGATTCTAATTTTTATTTTCTAATTATGCACAATTTTTTTTTGTGTATGTTCTACAACATAA